CAAGTCAAAATCCCTGCCCCTCCCTGGTTGGGGGGTTTACACTGACTGGTGCATTAATTAAAGAAGTGTCAGTGCCACATATGTAGTAAAAGCCAACTTGTCAGTAAAGGCCACAGAGCAAGATTGTATTTCAAAGACTGCCAGTGACAAAAACAATTGATAGCCCTGAAATAGAGTATGCCAACAGTTAGTATACTGCAAATAACTATTCTATCAACAAGAGAATGTGTGTGTTTTACAAGTGTTTTTTATATATCAATCCAATGGCATGTAACCTAAAATTCAGCAGTGTCTGTGTAATGAAATACACCCTTACTTCTCAAATATGGTCAAATTAACTATACTACATTGTGTATAATAATATATGGACTGGTTCAAAAATATATTGAATTTATATTAGTGAACTGGTGAACTATTGATGTAGAGATTATGCCAAGTATAGAATGGCACAAGGATTTTCATGTTATCAGTTTATCTGTGTAAAATCTCTTAGAGATATCCTCGGTAGCTACATTTTAAGGTAAAATGACTATGGTAAAGTTATTCAAGGCAAAAAAGCAATGGATCTGTCAACCTCGTTGTCAACAGTAAATTTAGCTAAGTTTATGATCCATTTATTGCCGTATTTTAGCTGAGAATTCATTTAAGACAATGCAATACGATAGACTTACCTTTAAATTTATCATATATTCTTTTAAAATGGTCACCAAAGCTCTAAAACTCGATTGGTATCGTTTTAACTTCCTCACTCCTTAATGTTTACATGTAAATTTGTCAAATTACACTTGTTTAGGGCACTGGAAACGAGACACGGCCAAGATGCGCGAGGCGACATGCGCGGGGACATCAACATCAAAGATTCCGACATCGAGTGAGACTTCTGGTCTTATTATTTATTTTGTGCTGCGAGACGCTCAGACGCCAGAGCTCAGACGCCTGGCAGTTCTTGGTCGATTTCTTGCAAGTTGTGCTATTTCGTTGTCGTTTACGATTTTTTGCTACTTGTTTTTGTTGAATTGACTAATGTTAATATTCTTCCGTCATCTGGGCGTGAATTTATGCTGTTATTCTTGGTATATATGACATATGCCTTATTTAAAGTCCATGGAAATTCCAATATTAACATGTCAACAACCGAAGCGTTGAAGAACTAGACTTGCAGGAACTAGATTTGTAAGCTATAACTATATAAAGGTACAGACTATAAAATTGCACTGTTGTAATAAATATTTCAAACTTTACGGCTGTGAATTTTTATTTACTTGGGCTTTTGTTTACAGTATACATTTAATAGAAATTACCATTGGCATTGTGATCGACTGATCGAGCCTTCAGCTAAAGAAGTTATTAATAATTATATGACTTTCTAATCATTTCTCTGTTGCTGTTTTATACTAAGCAACTGATAGCATTCTGTTATTCTCCATGTAATACCGAATGACATATTCGAAATATTCGCACGGTTAACTTGTCATGTTATTTACTCATATAATTTTTCGCGCATTTTGCATGTCATAGAACATCTACAAATTTATTATTATTTGCCAATGGCGTTCAATTCAACTCTTCATCACAAAGTAAGGTTTTACACACAGCATATATGACGATATGGTATTAACTTTTTGTATTAAATTCCATGTTTTCCCGCCATGACAGTATACAAGAACTGCCAGGCGCTCCCCAGACGCCGCACCCTTCCCAACAGCCCCTTCGCGCGTCGCCTCTGCCTACCTGAATACTTCATGTATTGTAATTATTTAAAGCGCCTGGGTACGAGGCAGGGTGTATTCGCGTATCAAAATAAAACGTTCGTCGCAAGTCAACTTTTTGGCGTACTACGGAAGTACTAACCAATCAACATTCACGAAATTTTGAAATTTAAAAACGTTTTTGATTCGGTACGGTACGCTTGAAGTGGAAAACCGGCTTTAAAAAGGGGTGCAATCTTAGTCCAACTTTGTTCATAAATGATATTCCTGAATTATTTGTCTCCAAAGATTGTGATCCGGTGTATCTGGTAGAAACGAAAGCCGGAAAGTAAATTGTTTACTTTATGCTGATGACATAATACTTTTCTCACAGTCTTGAGTCTGGTCTACAGGAGAATCTTGCTAAGTTGGAATGTTATGTTAAAAGATGGAAATTCAAAATTAATTTTAAAGTCTGAAGTTCTAATCTTTAGAACTTAGAAGTAAATCTCAAAGGCAGCCGTATATTACGTCGAATTGGTATTTTGGTGGAGATTTGATAGAATGTGTTGATGAATGTCCTTTTACATTTCATTATACTGGTGGTTTTATATAAACTTGCACGAAAGAGGCTGTATAATAAGGCACTGCAGGCTTACCACAGTATTTTTAAAAACTTTTAATGTGGACAGGGTTCCGGTTAAGGTGCTGTTAAGACTATTCTCAACTCGTGTTTTCCCGATTGTGTTACATATTGCTGTGAGATGTGGGGAGTATATATTTTAGGCAGGTTAGATTGACGACGACCGAGATGTTCAAGAACAAAATTTTCAACGTGATTTCAGATATTGATAAGTACATTTAAAATTTTGTAAACGTATTAAAAGATTACCAATGTCTGTAAAAATTTCAACTTTAATTATCAAATACTGGTTAAGAATAAATAGTCGATATTATAAAAAGCAATTAGTAGATTATAAAAAGCAATTAGTATAGGAAAGGCAGTACATGCAGGTGTGCCCATTCAATCAGGGTGTGAAATTCTCTGATTTCTTACAACATATGTGTAATTTCGAACCTTTGAGCAGTTATGAAATTCAGTCTAAAAGTGATATTAATAATTTAGCTTACGCTATGAGTTATGTATTAGATATAATACCATATGGAAAGATCAGTTTTACGGTTCTTGGCCGTTTGACTTCAGTTATGCGTCAATTACGGTCCTTGAATCACTCCCCCTTGTGGTTGCGGCTCATCTGTGGGGTTTTCAGTGGGTACGTCTCTGGATCTTCTCGGAATCAGCTGCAGTGCACCTCATGCGTCGTCTTAGGTTGGCTGCTTGTCGGTATAACTTCTCACTCTAAGCCCACCATATTCCAGGCCGTCGCAACGCCGCTGACGCGTTATCTCGTTTTCATTTTCCGGAATTTCATCGTCCCCTGCTGCCTACGAACACTTTTCCTACGCCAGTCCCAGTTTTCTTCCCACAGCTTCCGCATTGGTGCCGCAACGGCGGCCACGGGCCGTCCAGATAATCTCATCCAAGCTCTTGGACGTTGGACAAGCGATACGTATCGCCGTTAGGGATGAAATCGGTAGCTAGTTAGATGCGCCTGACTAAGAAGGCAACATCACCAAGGATAATAATTCCTAGAATCCTTAGTCAACCAATGGTACCTCCGCCAAAAAATACGTCCAACCAGTTATAAGGGTTGCAGAAAGGTAACCATTGGTGATACCTTGCCCAATAACAGCCTCCAATCCCTTATAAATCCCTTGCGAATGTATCGGCGACAGCGAGCAAACATAATTTAGTATGGTAATATCTAGTAACATTAATTGCTGGACGGAAACAATCTCGTACGCAGAGCAATGCCTGTGCGCGGGCAGGATTAAATATTATTTTTCCTATGCTGTGATTAGTTTAACTTTTATCAGTAGTACATGCCGACAACAACCAGAACCCCTAAATTTAGTGCCTTCCTCGCCCACGCACAGGCATTGCTCTGGGTACGAGATTGGGACGGAAAGCGATATGACCTAACGGCCACATCAGATGATGAATATCGTATGAGATGTTAAATATTATTGGCACAATGTATGTATGTATAAACTTTATTTCAACACGGAAATCTCATCATTACATAAATACTGCTCTTCCTGAGCCGTGCATATAAACATGCAATTATATAAATCTATGTAAATATAGCAAGAAAAGAGAAAAAAGGAAAACAAAGAGGAAACTAGATTTTACAATAACTTGAATGATTAACTATATTACATATATAGATAATTAAGAGGCGCTAGCTAACGTCACTTTGCTAGGGTCATTTGAATATGTAGATTATTTAACACATGAATGTATTAGGTAAAAACTTCGTGGGTATGGCCTCATTCGCTTAGTGCTTTTCCAAGCAACTAGACGTTTTGCCCGCCCTATTGTCGTTTATTTTGTTTGCTCGATTGGTGGAATTTAAAACCGCTCGCTTCCAAGCTCAGTTGGGGATGGAGTTGCGTGGCGGGTTCTGATCAGCCATATGGGGGTATTTTTTTTCCATTGTTGCCTTTGAATTCGGGTAAGATACATACGTAATTTCCCCGTTTTTGACGGGTGACGTATGGGGGTGGAGGAGGAACCATTGGTTGACTAAGGATTCTAGGAATTATTAATTTCCCCATTTTTGACGGGTGACTTGTTTCGTATGGGGGTGGAGGAGGAATCATTGGTTGACTAAGGATTTTAGGAATTATTATCCTTGGTGATGTTGCCGGCTTAGTCATGTGCAGGCGCATCTACACTAAACCACATCATGTTGCATGTTTAACCCTTGTATCTTTTTAAGAAGGCCGGTGACCTTACTCTTTTATTTATATTATTTTCTTCTATACGTTTTACATGTCATATCTGCCTCGTTCCCAGGCGCTATAAAAAGATTTCACAAACGAATCACTAAATAAAAGGTTTACATGAAGTAGTGCATCGCGAGCGAACAAGTGCAGGGGTTTATACGTTGTTTATGCGCTCATATCCCATCCCCTTTGCGAGCCTATAATGATGCACTACTTCATGTAAACCTTTTATATAGTGACTCGTATGTGAAATCGTTTCGTAGCGCCTGGGGACGAGGCAGATCAGAAAATACGAGAAAAATCATTTCTACAATTCTTATAATATATTACATTTTCCCACATGTTCCCAAAATGACATGTTTTTGAAGATGGGAAAAGACATCAGACTCTTTGCTCCACGTAATGCACGTTAATGGTTTTTGATTCGATAAATGCCATATTTTCTTGTATCGCGTGTGTTATTCGTACTTCATACCGTATACAGTAGGCGGTATTCATGGCAAGCAGTGAAATTATGGCTTCACATTTTGGACTCGAGTTCTCAGCACATGCACTGGTGATGTTTGGGCTACCAGAGGGTTCACTACCGGGTCGTGTCCCATTTCTACTTAAACCATTAGTCGCCAAAGGCGATGTGATTACAAGTAATCACCGAGCCTGAGGCGGCTAATTGTTTTAGTATAATTTCAGTATTGAAAACGTTTTATTTATAAATACACTAATACACGTGTTTATTTTATGAATATAATTTGCATAAATAATTTACTTACGTCAGATTTTCAGCCATTTTTTTTTTAAAAGCAACAGTTACTGTTCAGAGCGGTCTGAGCAGTAACTATTGCCTCAGAGTTACTGCTGAGGGAGCCAGTCAGAATGCTCAAAGGCCATTTTTCAATACTGAAATTATACTAATTGCATTCAATAATCTTTATTGTATTTTATTGAAGTCCACCATGTATTTGTTTATATTTCTGGTGTAAAAGTGAACCACAAAATTGACGGCAGCCATAATTTGAAACAACAAGAAAGTTTGATCCCATCCATATAGTTTACCAAATGTAGCCAGTGGATAGCCAGCAATTACACCACCAACTAAGCAAGAAAAAAGTACAAAAATCAGATATACTAGGATTGCATAAAGCGGATCTCCACTTGACGATTTTTGAGACGATCGTCAAAACAGTTCGCGACGACACATGCGCAATGGAAAAAAAGAGCGATCGTCTAGCGCTCGACGAAAAGTAGGATTTGTAGTGTTTATGTGTTGTTATAAAGCATAAATTACAGGATTGACTTCTACTTTTCGTCGAGCGCCAAATTTTAACCAATAAGATTGCAGGATTCTTTGTTCAAACATTTCAGCATGGCATCCTTCTTAATACAGGGCCAACGAGTTTTAGCAGATCTTCAAAAGTGCTAGGGAGCATTCTGAAGTAACTAAACAATATTTCATGGTCATACAGTCGTGAATCGAGTACGAGCAATTGGTTCTGATTCCTTTCCTGATTTCTTTCCTCGTAGAGTTTACGAATCCGAAATTGTCTCAAAAATAGTCTAGTGGAGATCCGCCTTCAGAGATAAACCAATTAGTCGGTAATGCATGCTATTACAGTCGATTTCAACTTACTTTTCACTCAAATGTTCCGAACTTCGCAAATTCGTTGCCAAGTTCAAAACTTCATAATGAAATTCACAAACAGGTTTGCAAACTGGGCATTTGATTGGCTGGTTTGATTTAATAGCCAATCAGAGGCTTTGTTTACAAACCTGTTTGTGAATTTCATTATGAACTTTGCAACGAATTTGCGAAGTTCCTAACGAAGTTCCTAACGAAGTTCGGAACATTTGAGTGAAAAGTAAGTTGAAATCGACTGTAATATCGCCGATTTTGGGGCATATAATTGTAGATGGTGTTTTTGTACATGGAATTCTCGAACGCCAATTTCTATACATTTTTTAAACCTAACGAGGAGCAGTTGCGAAAAATGCAACTATAGTTCCTCTGCATGTTTGCTGCGCTCTAAGTCACTGAGCCATATATAGTCCAATTGCTGCGTATTAATCACAAATGGCAAATCCTATCCAACGAGATGCTTCTCGATATTCACCCTCGAAAATCTCGATATTCATCCAACTCTGTAGCTCAGGGGCCGGTTGTATGAAGCCTGGATAGCGCTATCCACCGGATAGGGATGTTCTACCCCTTTGTAAAAATGCTTGAAAAACTTCGAAACTACCGATATATAGATGACACAAGTAGTATAAGTAGTATGGATAGCGCTATACGGGCTTCGTGCAAATGGCCCCAGTTGGTTAGTGCACTACACCGGAATCGCAGGCCGATTCTTGCCACGGTGTCTATATGATTTTTCAACTTTCTGCGTAATTTTTGAGTTGGAAAATGGTCTTGAATCGTCGTTTTTTGCGCGAAACGTGAGAGGTGCGTATTCTGTGATACGTACATCTCATCAGCCAATCAGAAGACTCCGTTTACGTGACGAGCCTGGAGTTACTGACCGGAAAAGAATAAGTTTATACGTAGCATTAAAGCAATGGGACGACTTATTTAGTGAAACACAGCAACCAGTTTTTTTTTATTCAGCCTGTTACGTTCTAATGTAATTTGATACAGTGCGTGGTCAACTTACAGCTTGAACCCAGCGCAACAATAGCATGAGTTGTTCCCGAGAAACCAGGTGGTCCGTTTTCCATTGCCAATAAGCCGTATAATGAAATTGAGCCAGAAAGTGCCATGCCGCAGCCAAACAGCAAAACTCCTATGAACAACTATAACAACGAATGGATATCACAAGTTTGTTAACAATCAGGGAACTGATAGCAAAACTATTGGCCAGAGGCCGGTTCTACGAAGGCCAGATGGTGAGTGTTTCAGCCTTTTAAATACGGATGGACCTCACCATTAATAAAAAGAAACTTTCATTGGCCGGTTATGCCATCTGAATCTTATCACGTGAGTCTATTGCATTATCTCTAATCCATGCCTTTATTTCAAGTCGCCTTGACAATTGTAATTGTTTCGCATGATTGCAAAATGCGGCTGTGAGATTGGTCTGTAAAGCCTCAAAATTTGACCATGCTTCACCATTACTCGTTGATCTTCATTGGCTTCCGGTAAAATATCGAATTTATTTCAAGATTCTAATTCAAAGCATTACATGATATCAAGAGTATCCAGAATATCAAGGATTTGTTATTTACTGTATCAAATAATCTTAGAACAAACAGCAACCCACTACTGAATCCACTGACAGTGAAGATATTTGCTACATCTGGTGACAGCGCATCTGCTTCGGCTGCACCTAAATTATGGAACCTCTTAACTGCGAATACCAGACATACACGTCACTTGATTGTTTTATAAACTTAAACAATTTTATAAATAAATTTTATAAATAAATTTTTTTAAGTTTATAAAACAATCAAGCGACGTGAATTGCATGGCCAGCTCAATGGAATTCGAGGCTTCGAGTAATTCAATAAAAGTCAATTTCACGAAAATGGAATATAAATTATATAGGCATTTTGTTATACATTTTCCACTGTTAATCAGACAAGTATAAGGCCAAATGTTCGTAAACAATTAAGGTACGGCGCAAAAATATCACCATGCAGTTCTAGCCTATAACTATATTTTATGACCAATAGAAGGTTTTGATTTTGAAAGAGATAACTACTACATTTCGTAAGTCGGTAGGTGTGTTTAATAAAAAAAAAACCCAACATATAATCACATTACTGTTGATGATGACGAGTCGACGGTTGTCCTCAGAAAATGAACGCACGCGAGCAGCACAGTGTATAACCATATAAAAGCTGGCATACGAGCACTAGAGTTGTTAGCTTCATCTTGCTGAAAGAAAATAAATTATAACGGAATATCACTGCATATCTCGAATTAATAGAGATTAGTATAATTACATAGGTGATTATTGAAAATTCTCCACGCTGATTGGTTGCCGTTGAGGTAATTATTACGCGATAATCACCTAAGCGATTTTCAAAATGGCGGTCGAAGCCGTTTTGTCAATTAAATGACGAAGAAATGTGCATTTTAAAATTTGTTTCCAAATAATCACCTATGAAATTATACTAAAACAATTATTCACCTCAGGCTCGGTGATTATCGTGAATAATTGTTAAATAATACATGGGTGCGCGTGAATACCAGATTTATTTCGAGATTTCGAGTGTTGAACATGATATTTCACGAGTGATCGAGCGCAGCGAACGGGTGAGATATCATGTTCAACACGAGAAATAAATCTGGTATTTCCAAGCACCCATGTATTTTTCTGTTTATTATATAAACAAAATTCAGTGAAAAACAATAAAACGTCCGTGGCAATGCGTTTTACAACAAATGATATTTTCACACGTAAAAATATCGTATTTTTTACGTGTGTTTAAATACGATTTTTCTCAGTGGCCAAAAACTCTACATAACACTTATGTTTATATAATAAACGATATTAACCACCATTATGGGTGGGCTTCATGCAGTGGCGCAGTCGTCACAGCAAGCGTCTTTCAACTCTGACATCGTGGGTTGGATTCTCGCTACGGACTCATGTGAAAAGAGTCTGTCAACACTTTGCCGAAAGTCGTGGGTTGGATTCTCGCTACGGACTCATGTGAAAAGAGTCTGTCAACACTTTGCCGAAAGTCGTGAGTTGGATTCTCGCTACGGACTCATGTGAAAAGAGTCTGCCAACACTTTGCCGAAAGTCGTGGGTTGGATTCTCGCTACGGACTCACGTGAAAAGAGTCTGTCAACACTTTGCCGAAAGTCGTGGGTTGGATTCTCGCTACGGACTCATGTGAAAAGAGTCTGTCAACACTTTGCCGAAAGTCGTGGGTTGGATTCTCGCTACGGACTCATGTGAAAAGAGTCTGCCAACACTTTGCCGAAAGTCGTGGGTTGGATTCTCGCTACGGACTCATGTGAAAAGAGTCTGTCAACACTTTGCCGAAAGTCGTGGGTTGGATTCTCGCTACGGACTCATGTGAAAAGAGTCTGCCAACACTTTGCCGAAAGTCGTGGGTTTCCCCGGGCGCTCCGGTTTCCTCTCACAGGAAACGTTAACAGGGTGAGATAGGATAAACATTGCTAGGAAAGTAATATCACAATTGTTGCAAAGATAAATAGTCTAGGCTAAGTACAGTAGGTCATGTAGGTAATAAAAGTGAGCGTAATACTTGACGTAATCGGTCACCGAAAAGCCACGATGAGGAGTGATGGGAGTCTATAAGAACCTTCATCTCCTTTTTTTTCTCTCATTAGAACTTAGGTGCACTAATTTTATGCATCTACGCTATTGCCAGTGCTGCACACGACGTCCAACGAGGTGTAATGATCAATCAAAGATCATAATGAACCACACCATGCATACTCGGTGATATTACCTATCGCATCCGTGTCGTATTAAATTATATCATCATTCACATTCGGTTGTTCTATGTTAGTTGAATTAGTGAGGCTGGCAAATACAACGGCAATGCCATTGAAGACGTGTTTCTGAACAACACCATTTCTACTCTAAAACAAAGGCGACTATAAGTTGTATTTTCTTGTCTATTATAGCACGCCGTAGTTCAAACTGCTTCGTTATTAACACCATTTTCATGGCTCATAACTAATAACTACGCCAAAAGTTGCAACGTTCGCCCGGGTATTTAATGTGAATTCACTGACTATTACTACTTATAGTATAATTTCAGTATTGAAAAATGGGATTTGAGCGTTCTGATTGGCTCCCTCAGCAGCAACTCTGAGGCGATAGTCACTGCTCAGACTGCTGTGAGCAGTAACCATTGCTTTTATCAAAAAATGGCTGAAAATCAGACGGAAGTAATTATTTATGTAAATTATACTCATAAACTAAACAGTCACGTGTATTAGTTTCAGTTATTAATAAAACTTTTTCAATACTGAAATTATACTAAAACAACTGGTCGCCTCAGGCTCGGTGTTTACAAGCCTATATTCACTTCGCCTTCGGCTCATTAAATATAGGCTTGTAACTATAATTGTTAATTAATTAATTAATTAATTAATTAATTAAGGGTTGTTGGTGAAAAAGATAAGTCCATTTAAGAGGCAAATAAAGAGTTTAGGAATCTATATGCTTTGATTCAAACACAAAAATGTAAGTACTTTGGTTTTCTTCCCTTGCCGTTGTAAGTTACCAAACTCCCTCTTCAATACAACACGGCCGCTCGTGTTGCAAACATTACGTATGAATACGTGTTTCTTTGTTGTAGGGCATCTTGCATGAAAGATCATACATCATGCAAGACAGCGGAACAACTGATTGACTTTTTTTTTCAAAACAAAACCCATTGCTGTAAATGGGTAAATATCAGGATTTCCTCGGGGATCTTACTCGATTGAACTACTGTTGAATGGTTTGGTAGAAGGAAATTTCGATTCTAAATTTTATATATTGATTTAGATCTAACCAGGAGCTGCTACGAAGATTGCAAGTATAGTCTCTCTAGCAGGAATCGAACCTGCGCCCCTGTGACTCCGGGTCAGCGCACTATAAGCAACTGAGCTACATGCAGAGCCCAGCTGTCGAGCTCTAACCACAAGTCATATATCCTGTATAAACTAAGATGATGCCATGGTAAGATATATGCATGGATAAATATCAGGATTTTTTGGGTCATCTCACTCGATTGAATTTAACGTTGAACGGTTTTGTAGATGGAAATTTCGATTGTAAATTTTATACATTTTATTGAGACCTATAACCAGGAGCAACGGTATACCTGTACAGAACACAATTAATATTTATAATAATCACCTTGTGCATCCATTTATCAGTGACAACTCCTGCCAAAAAACTCCCAAGTATTCCACCAATCTCAAAGAATGTCACAGCTAATCCAGCTAAATAAAAAAAGCAAATAATTATAACAGCACGTCGCAGAGTAAGTTCATGTTCCCATTTCATAAAAAATTATCTTAGGGCTTATAATAGTTTTGTTTGTGGAAACACCACGTAAATTTATTACTGCAAAGCTTTCGATCCGTAAGCCCGGATCTTCATCAGTGCTAATAATATTCCCGGATCTTCATTGGTGCTGGTAATATTATTCAGTGCTAATAATAATAGTGCTCATATTATTAGCACTGAGGAAGATCCGGGGCTTACGGATCGAAAGCTTTGCAGTAATAAATTTACGTGGTGTTTCCACAAACAAAACTATTATAGGTTTTATCGCCATGCAAACTTACAAAAAACTTATTATCTTAGGGCCTGTTCATATGGAGAAAAGTTATCTCGGTTAGCGAGAGAACATTTCGACATGCAAGTTTACAAGCGAAATCTCGCCTTTTTTAAGAAAATAATATGAAACGTTACACTGCGTTCATACGAGACGTGACCACGTGGCTCATGCATGACCACGCAAACAAGGTAAAACATGATTTTTTCCTGTGTTGGTGTAATGTACTCAGGTGAATATGATGCTTGCGAGTGCTTGTGATGTTACTCTGAGTGTATATCCACACCGGGCAAGCTTGAAAAATATGCCTGACCACGGTGGGAATCGAACCTACGACCTTTGGAATACTAGCCCAATGCTCTACCAACTGAGCTACGCGGTCTGGTCGGTTCGAGTATGTGACATTTCGGAACTGAGTCTAGTTCCTTCGATATCAATGTTATGTCGTTCGGGGGTGTTTATTTCAGGGTAAAAACACTGTTATACATGTTAAAGACAGGTTAAAGACATATTTTATGTTAAGTCGTTCGGGGGTGTTTATTTCAGGGTATTTAAAACAAAGATAAGTGCTTTTTAAAAATTTAATACAGTCCCTTTTCATAAATGGCTGCCGATTAAAAATTCTTTTATGTGCATATAAATTGGCCCAACTAGCCTCGTTTCTGGGTAGAAATTCCTTTGAAATCTTAACATGAGTACGAGGCTAGTTGGGCAATTTATATGCAAATAAAATAATTTTTAATCGGCAGCCATTTATGAAAAGGGTGTATAATGTATGTTTTGGCATAAATACACAAGTATAAGTAATTTTGTTTTCTGCAATTTTCCGTGTCATAAACCGCCAGGGTCACCAGTAACAATCAGTGTCACCACTTTCAACATGCGTCACATCCGGTGAATATGAAATGAGATATTCACCACGCGAAATGCGCGTTTAAATAGCCGCCTCAAACGTGTTAACAGGAACTCAACAAACACAACCAACACGAAGTCGCGAACTAGATACTAACTAGAATTGGGCGATACTGATAACATCATATCGTGATTATTGTCTAGGAAATCATCACGATATTCGATAATATCGCGATGAATGCAATAAGCATGAACAGTTTTAACAGGTAGAGAAAGAAGATCTTCATGCACGTAAAGGCAATGGAAAGGCTGTTGGAAAACTGCGAATACTCGGTTACAGAACACTATGTCACCATCCAATCAGACTGCGGAACAAAAATAGAAATCTAATCAAACTACAGCTCGTCCAATTAAAAGAAAGCATGGAGTTCGCTTCAGGAAGCCAGTAACTGAAGTGTTTACTTTTCAAGGCCAGTGTGGAAATCGAACCTACGACCTTTGGAATGCTAGCCCCATGCTCTGCCAACTGAGCTACGCGGTCAGGTCGGTTCGAGTATGTGATATTTCGGAACTGAGTCTAGTTCCTTCGATATCAATGCAATCTAGTAATCATTTCTGTTCTGCAATGTGATTGGTTAGTGTTCTCTAAGTGGCCCCACTTACTGTAGACACACTGTCTGTAAAAATTTCTACCCGTCAGACGAATATAATTTCAAATTATGTGCCACTGGACGAGACCTATCAGCCGAAAGTTTAAACGAATGTATAATTCAGAATTAGTCTAGATGTCAAAATGTTAATTTGAAGGCAAAAGTTAAAAAGAAAACAAGTAAAAAATTTATACTGACAATGTGTGTTTAAGGTGGCTCCCTATACAGTTGTTTAAGCATGGGACTGGTAATGAAATGACGTGATTTTGTCGAGTTTACCACATCAGCAAAATTTCATTTGACCGCTCAAGGTTTGCAATGCTTTTTTCCGTCGGTCAATATTTGTGAAATTTTGTATTTTAAAAGTACTCGTCACTTATTGCAATATACTCGATTTTTAAAAATTCTATAAAACAGTATTTGTGAAACGAATTTCGTGTAATATCTCAGAAACTGAATATATAACACCCCCCCCCCCCATCCTAATTTTTTAATATAATCTTCCACCAGATATTCCCTTTACACCTCCAAAATTTTAGAAACTTTGATTGAAGTACATTTTAATAAATTCATTTTTAGTCCAAAAATTGATCTTTATAGATCTGCTGTCACTTAGGTCGCATTATTACCATAGCAACATCCAATTTACTTCTTTCGAACGATCATGCTTGAAGTATAAAGATTACGCAAGCGTTTGCACTTAAAAAAATCCCCATTTCACGTAAATAGCAAATATTTTGCGTCATTGTGAAGACCTTATTCTTCGCTGCTGTTTCCTTACAACTGTAGGGAGCCACCTTAAATCATTGAGGGCAGCACTCTCCCCCTGACGAGTAAAATCGTCAGGTGTTAGACAGAGTAAAATAATAAAGTGGGGCGCATTGCTACTTAAATGATTAAACGCGCGTTTGGCGTGGTGATTAGAGACCTTAAGATTGACGTTTACGGCAAACGTCAAACCGCTAGCGAAGTTTTTGATTCTACAACTCTATTATAATAGCTTTTACAACAGTTTTGAAATATATTAAACAATTATTAAACTTGTGGTGTTTAGCAATGATTTAAGAAAGCAAATTAACCACTAGTCATGTATTCACCAAAGCAGTCAATTAAGTTTTGGCGTTTGAAGTTTACGTTTGGCGTATAAATTTCATGCTTGAACGACTACAAGCCCTCGTAGCAGTTCAAGTATGAAATTTATACGCCAAACGTCAACTTCAAACGACAAATCTTAATTTAGTGCTTTGGTGAATACATGTCTAGTGGTTAATTTGCTTTTTTAAATCATTCCTAAAGAGCACAAGTTTAATTATTGTTTAACATATATTTCAAAACTGGTGTAAAAGCTATAATAATAGAGTTGTAAAATCAAAAACTTCGCTAGCGGTTTGACGTTTGCCGTAAACGTCAATCTTAAGGTCTCTAATATCTCTTTTCATATTCACCGCTGAAAGTGGTGACAATGATTGTTACTGGTGATCCTGGCGGTTTACGAAACGAAAGATTGTGTCGCTGCTGTTGGTTCCCAAACTCACTATTGACGTCTTTTGACAGAAACGTATATTTGACATTCCCTTTACTGTAACTCTGCTCAAACAGCGCGGTTAATGTGTGAGCTGTGCGCCGGAGTGCCGGCATATTTTGCCGGAGTCGGAAAACTCCGGCAAAAACTCCGGCAGACAAAATTATGAAAAATTATTTCATATTTTAATGAACTTTTGGTAATGGAAAAAAATTAAGTTGTTCAATGATTTCAAGTTACTATAAAGTTTTTAAAATTACTTGCTCCGATCCGATTTCACTCATAAATATAAAATTTCCTTGCCGGAGCTTTGACTGCCGCAGCCGGAGTTTGCACAGCTCTAAATTGTGCAATAAATGGAGTGTATAAAATTTATATCTTGGAAAGATATTGGTGAGATGTTGGTAGGGTGTGGTCAAGATTTTGTTGAGATCTCGGCAAGATTCTCAACCTGGTTATTTTTCTAATCATGGTTGACTATCAACGATCCTGCCTTCGTCATCGGGACGACAGCGCACTTCCTAATTAAATGATAAAATAGAATCCCTATCACGGATATAATACCTGTATATTGCGATTGCCCCTTGTCTTGTATAAGATACAGCTGAATCCAATCACTAATTCCATTCTTCAACATGGCCGTTACAAAATCTCCATGAAGAAGAACCCATAAAAATGGACTATGTAAAAGTTGAAATAGAACTTTACTCCAAGAGTATTGTGCTGGTTTCCTTTTCGCTGTAAGGTTGTCTGTTGTGTTAGCACCATTAAGACCGGCTTCTTTTTTCGAGTTATAGATCATCGTGTATATTATGGGAGAACAGGATATAGCTAGCAGGCCAGGGAATAGCATTGCATATTGCCAGCGGTAATTTGACGTAAGATGTATTGTTATTAAAGGACATAATCCAGCCATTATGTTACAACCAACTGTCAGCATACTCCAGTATGTACCAATCTAGGAAAACAAAGATAAATTTGCATTTAAAACGGTATGACTGCAGCTGTTATGGAGCCATGGAGTAAGGCTACCCTCCATAGTTTACAGGGCTCTAAGCTCCAGACATGCGCCAGAAAAATTTCGAAACTAGTCTCTTGGACGCTGGTTCAAAAGATTGTCTTTATTGTCTGCAGGCCTCAAAATATCTTTCACAGGCCTTTCTTGCAAAATGTCCGATCACTTTGAGAACGGGTCAGACATATGCATGATGATAACTTTCATAACCTTCAGTTGAGTTTGCCTCGGAAATTAGTCTGAATGACACAAATTAATATCAGCACTATGTATTAATTCTGAAGAGTAAATGTAGTGCAAATATTAAATAATTTGCTTGTCAACATAACAGCAGTAAATCTTCAACAATTTAAGTTCGTTTTACACTTCACCATTTCGCTCGCCGCACCACTCTCGATTATTTTAAATAAACAACAACATTTCTAGTTCACTTTCCATTTAACATGCAATCCTCTAGTCCTGGACTAGGGTACATTTTGATTTACATTCGTCGGACAAACAATAAAGCTCAGCTTCATTTTGGGTGGACAGAGTGTCTAGTGCAGGCTTCCGGCCAAGATCGGATTTTGGTGGAAGTGCTGAGGCAGGTGGAAATATACTTAGGGGAGTGGCAGCGTCTAGTTCACAGCTACCATGAAATGTTAGGACTTAGCCCCCTATTAAAGTCAACTAGATGACTATGCATGTACTGTGCATATATGTATCAGAGTATTCATGAATTATGACTGTACAACTCATCCAATATTGCTCTTCATTACATTACTTATAATTGCTGGAACCACTGAGTATTTTCATAAAATACAATACAACGGTTGATTCAACGTTTCGACTTTATTTAGTCATCATACTAAATAAATTTTTAGTCATCATGACTAAATAAATTAACTCATCATGACTAAATAAAGTCGCGACGTTGAATCAAAATGCTTACTTTATTCGGAGTTACCGTTGTATTGTATTACATTACTACACAGTTTATTCACAGGGGGTCCAACTAACAGCTGTGTTATGAATAAAACATATTAATTAAACGTAATATGAATAAAACATCATAACGTAATATTGCACTTACTTGTATAAATCATAAGAGCTTGCATTTTAATACAGTGAATAGCTTCAAAAACTTGCTTCGTTCCAAAGACTTCAAATATGGCGAATAAATTGACAAAACGATAATATTACATGACGTTCCAACGAAAATAACAGAAAGGATTGCGGGCGCGAGCGGAAAGGCGAGGAAAGAAATAAATAGAAGGGATGAAACAAATATCACGTGACTTTTTTAAATGCTTCTACACTATCCGTTTAAGCTTTTTGTGGTATTTTTAAGGCTCATTCGATGTTCTCTTATATGAACAATCATAGTCATTACCAAAAAAGCACTGATCAATCTAAGTTTGTGTGAGTTATAACAGCGAACATTCTTGGCCGTTTTCGCGATATGTGTTCCATAAAGCCTAGTTCTCATTCATCGCAAACCGTCGGCGATGGGAGCTTTGCGACGTCGGCGACCGCTTGCCATTTATGAGAACACATCAAAAATTATATCGCCGATTGTCCGTAATCGTCGCCGAACATCGGCGATGACATCGCAGGAAACAAAAAAGTTTGTTTCTTGCGACCATCGCCGACTGCCACCTGCTTGAAAAATCTATGAGAAATGAGTAAAAGTTGTTTTTTCCTCAACAAGCAAGGAAATAATCAACTGAAGTTTGACAGAAATCATGAACTTTACGTTGAATGGGCCCATTTTGTGGGAAATTTGGGAAATTTCGAAACACATCGGCTGTCATCTGCGACGATCACCGATGTATGAGAACTTTCGTGCATTCGCGCTCGGCGAGTATCGGCGATAAGCGTCGCCGATCGTCGGTGACAGATTGCGATGAATGAGAACTAGGCTTAAGTAGCCTGTTCTCGTGACGTAATAATAATTCCGACTTCAATCTTCGGCTATTGCTCGGCGTGTGATTATAACTTCGTGAAAGATTCGGTGCATTTTTTGGCGCGAAATCATACAGTATCGAAAGTCAGTTTTACAAGAGCGAACAGTAGAGAGGAATTTGAAAGGTTTTTGTTTAATATCGTATTAAAAATGTAAGTATCTGGTTTTTATCGCCGTATTGATAGTTGGAGAGTTTACTTAATACGGAACTATAACGTCTATAACCAATTTTATTTAGGGAAATACACGCTTTGAATGTAGAACAGGTCACTGTTATGAACCTTGCAATGAGTGGGCACAATGTGTTTATTGGTGGCAAACCTGGAACTGGAAAAACGTACACTGTTAAACGGGTGGTCAACAGTTTGAAAAATATGCGTAATGTAAAAGTTTCGTGTACGACTGGAATGGCTTGTTCGCTTTACGAAGAAGCGATGACAATTCATTCATTTTCTGGAATGAAGAATGCAAGATTGGATGTTGAGTCGCTTGTCACAGGAATAATGAGTCAAGAGTCAGGATGTACGCATAAAAGATGGGTAGAAACCGATGTGCTTATTATCGACGAAGTTTCACAATTAAGTGCAAAAAACTTTGAGATCATCAATATTTTGGCTCAAAGAGTTAGAGGCGTTCAAAAACTGTTTGGAGGGTTACAACTTATATGTGCTGGAGATTTTTTTCAGCTACCCCCAATTAAAAGTGATGTAGATGAGGGAAAATATTGTTTTGAGAGTCCATTATGGAAGCAAGTGTTTGGCCATTCTGTTATGCTGGAGAAAGTCTATCGGCAGGACCCGAAAGAGAAGCAGTTTTTAAATCTTCTTGATGAATTTGCTATGGGGGAATGTTCTGATGAATCTTTGGCTTACCTGAGAAATGAACTATGTGACAAACAGTTGGACTCTAAAGACTTTGGTGTTG